TTTGCTGGTGAATGGCTGAAATGGCTATACACTGATGTGACCAAGAGATTGAAAGCCAATGATTTCTCAACATTACCCGAGGTTCATGCATGTACTGCAGGGTTAAAATCTATTACCACTTCTGCAACTGCGGTATGCCACTATTACTAACCTTCAATACTCTTCCTTCTCATAAATATATTGACTAGTTTTCCCCTCTGTCAAACATTGCTGTAGCTTAATATATTTTGGTTGGCCAGTTATTTTGCATAGTTCTTACTATATCACCACTTTGATGTCATAAATGGTCTCTCTTTACTTTTAAAAGTTGGTATTCATTACGAAATAACAATCAATGATGCTTTTAGCTTGGCTAAAATAAATATGTTTGCAGGATGCCATTGAAGAATGCCGGAAGTTGTGTGGTGGTCATGGTTATCTTTCTTGCAGTGGGCTTCCGGAGTTATTTGCAGTTTATATCCCTAACTGTACTTTTGAAGGAGACAATATTGTGCTGCTTTTGCAAGTATGAAAAAATGTGCAATACTGCAAGTTTTATTTTTTGAACCTTTCATCTTCTTCATTTTGTTCTGAATCGTTGACCACAATATCCTATCAGCTGTATTTCTGGTGCTAATTGGTAATTATGTAGATTTGATGAATCTATAGTGAAGAAAACAAAATAAATATCACATTTGAAAATAAGGAACCAATCTAGAATACTTGGATGTTGTGTTGATGACGATGATGAGGTGCCTCTATTGATTATGCAAGCGGAAATGTTTTTGTAGGTTGCAAGGATTCTAATGAAGACCGTTGCCCAGCTAGCGTCTGGAAAGAAACCTGTTGGGACAACGGCATACCTCGGACGAGTAGAGCACCTAATGCAATGCCATTGTGAAGTTCGAAGGGGTATCTTTTACATTTTTTTTTTCTCTTGAGCTTGTCTACAATTTGTATCTGCTTTGTGAATTTTATTTGGAAGATTAAAAATTGTCATTTTTACAATTGTTAATTATGATTTGCTCAATGCCTATGAGTAAGTTTGCTGGCTCTTATTGATTTCCAAACAATTTCGAGCTTATTTTAGTTCTTATCTACAAATCATTGCTCACTCTTATGGGTATTGTTTCATACTCCTTGACAAATAAATATTTAGTAAATAACAATATAATCGTTTCATTATTTGGTGGTTGACTTGCAGCTGAGGATTGGCTGAAACCTAGTGTTATATTGGAGGCATTTGAAGCGAGGGCTGCTCGGATGTCTGTTGCCTGTGCTCAAACCCTTAGCGGATTTTCAAATCCAGAAGAGGGTATCTTCTCTAGACGTTGATGGATGAATAAACACTCTTTTGCTTGTTAATTTTATTGTCATGTTACTCAACCAAGTCAACTCTTGCATGGTTAATAGTAGATGATCATGTTTGGGGTGTTAGCAAGACACTATTCCTCACAAACTACTCGAATTTGACTAGAAAAAACTTGAATTTGGCTCAGTCATTGTTGAGTTGAGGTATAATTCAAGTAGCTTGAACTATTGAGTAGGTCGACTTCGACTATCCTCATGCTTTACTGTGTAGCTCGTGAGCCTGGTATATATATATATATATATATATATATATTTTAATCGTTGAAAATTTTCAATGTGAACTCGAACTTGAGCACATATCATCAAGCTTGAAAGTGAGCATGGGAATTGAGCTCATTTTTCTCTAGATACTTGTCTAATCAAGCAAGCTCAAGCAGTTGAACCTTTAACTCGAATTGAGCTTGAACTTTGAAAGTTAAACTCAATCGAGCTCAAGCTTAAAAAAGTTGAACTCAATCAAGCTTGACCCAAACTTGGAGTCTCAAATTTCAAGTCGAGCTCTAGCTCAGCTCAGCTCGATTACACCTCTAGAAATGCTTTCAGTTCTTACCAAAACTATTATTTTTGAGCTTACACATTTAAAAAAAATTCAGGTTTTGCTGATATCTCATCTGATTTGGTTGAGGCTGCCGTTGCTCACTGCCAGTTAATTATCGTTTCCAAGTAAGCTTCTCCACTCTTATCCCTGCGTAAAGTCGGGGGCACAAAAAATAGAAATCAATGAAAAAATTTCATGGCTGCTTCATTTGGTTTTCAGGTTCATTGAGAAGCTGAAACAAGACATACCAGGAAAAGGAGTGAAAACACAGTTGGAGAACCTCTGCAATGTATATGCTTTGTCTCTTTTACACAAACATCTCGGTGATTTCGTCTCCACCGGCTGCATCACCCCGGAGCAAGGTGCACTAGTGAACGAACAGCTCAGATCCCTGTACTCCCTGGTTCGTTTCATGTATTTGACTTTGTTAACTAGGTCATCACAGGACAAACGTTTGCTGCTGCTGTCTCACTAGTTTTGATCTCATTTCAACCTTAGGTCCGTCCGAACGCGGTCGCCCTTGTCGATGCATTCAATCACACGGACCACTACCTTGGCTCGGTTCTCGGTCGGTATGACGGAAATGTGTACCAAAAACTCTATGAGGAAGCATGGAAGAGTCCGTTGAACGATACGGATGTGCCGGATGGTTACCGTGAGTACATTAGACCACTTTTGAAGCAACAAATCCGTACTGCAAGACTCTGAACGAAAACAGTTAAGTACCCCTCGGTTGAATGTTAACTGGACTTTGTTAGCTATCTGTCTTGTCTTGGATTATGGCTCTAATTTATTGTTATTTGGGGACTAAAACGTCGTCGTAGAAGACACCCTGATATGCACGTATCGATGTGTTCTATGTATTCTGTAATAGATAGGTTTAGACACGGATAGAGAAGTATCTGAATAAATTAATCGATCGAAGAGTAATTAAATTTGGTGACGTAATTTTACTCGATCGATTGATTAATTTTGGTTAAATTAATCATCAATCTTTATATTATGTATAAATTATGGATTTAGCCTATGTATTATGCTTATATTATGACCCTTATCGAAGAAGTCAATATGATCGAATCTGCCTAGTGGTCCAAGAAAAATCAAACCTCCTGGATTTGAGTACTAAGAATATCAGGGTATGAGCGTTTAATCTTAAATGATTGAGAATTATCTTTAAGCATATATTATCTTACATTTAACCCAGAGTAATAAGAAAAAATTTAATATCAAAATAAGTGTCCAAGTTATACCGGTTTTTTTAAATAGGCGCCTAAATTATTTTTGATTTATCTCAGAGCCTATCATTACAAATTTTACCGCTTTAGTTGTTCGGACTGTCAACCGTGTTAATTTTCCCGTCAAGTGACACGTGTCGCAAAATCTGGTAATTTTAAAAAATATTTAAAATAAAAATTGAAATTATATATATATATGTATACACATAAATATTTTAAAATAACCCCAAATCTTTAAAAATTTTCATTTCAACCCTTAAATCCACACCAATCCCATGGTGATCAAAACCCTTATGAAATCGTGTCGATCGAATGTGAATCGATGTTTTATACCCTATGAACCCTAAGATAAAAATTGTGATCCAACAAGATTCCGACGACCAATCAACGGTAACTACGACAACATATGATTAGAAAGATAGCAATGATTACGTTGACAGAGGTGGTCGTGGCCGGAAAGGGAAACGACGACGGATTAAGGTTAGGATTTGAGTTTTGGGGTTTTTTTTATAATTTAAGAGGAATTAGTTTTTTTTTTATAAATATAATAATATTAAAAAAAAAATTTTGAAATCACTATATTGTGACACGTGTCACTTAACAGAAAAATTAACGTCGTTGATTGTCCGAGTACTTAAAATAGTAACACTTGTAACGTTAAGCATCGAGATGAGTAAAAAATAGTTTATGCACCTATTTAATAAAATCAATATAGTTCGAACACATGTTTTGGTAACATTAAACTGTTTTATGCAGTGGACATCGCACCCCGTAGGGCTTGAATTCATCGGTCCTGACCTGCCTAGCAGAGTTTTAAAACGCTAACTTTGTGTTGTAAACTAAATTTTACGTGGTAATAAATAGTCATTTAATTAATAGATTGTTATATGTAAGTTATTGATTTTATCAACTTTTTACTAATAATTGAATGATTTATTTTTAATAATCAATAAATTTATAAATTTAATTATAATTATAATTAACATCAATTTTATTTTTAACAGTGAAGTAATTTGTTCGTATTAATAAATAAATAAATTAATAAATTTTAAAATTCAAGAATTTATTTGTAATTCTATGAACAATAATAATATGAGATGTATTTTACCCAAAATTTAAAGATAAAAGAAAAACAAATGAATTAAGTGACTTCGATGATAAAAAAAATTATTATTTTTTGAGATTTTGAATTTGACCGTTACAGATGTCAAGGTTATTAACGTTCAGTGTCAAATAATTCGACAGATTGCAACAATCAAATAATTTAAAAAATAAAATTTATAATTTTTTGTTATTTTTTATCTTTTAAGAAAATACCTAAAATCTATTAAATTTTAAAATATATTTTTAATTTCATCACTCGACCATTATTACCGTCGGCCATCACCAACTCGCTTGTCGATCGATTGGAATAAATGTGTGTCTTGGGATTTTGGAGATTGAGGCTACTTGTGACGATCAATGATAGTATAATTTAGGCATCTAAATGAGAAAAGAAGTTTAGTCGAAAGAAGCATAATTTAGACATTTTTTTACATAAGCTTAATTATTATATTCAATAAATAAAATAATTTGATTGTGAGTTTTCGTAATTATCATAAGCAATAAAAGGTTATTGCAAAACCAGGTAGGTTGTTTTGCTCTCTGTTATCATAAGCTTTTATATATATATATATATATATATATATATATATATTCAATGATCCTAAAGTCAAATGACACACTTGAAATGGCGTGCTAGACTTGCCAATTCATCCCCCACAAGAAAAACACCATTCATATATATATATATATATATATAGTCTTCAGTGATGGGTTGATCTCCACCAAACCCTAGCAAAAGTCTCCATTCTCTCTTTTCTCTTCCGTCGCAGAAAATGGAGGGTCTTATCCCTTTGGTTTATCGAACGCTGAAGAAGGCAAAAACCCGCCTTCGATACGAGCGTCTCTCGTCCGTCGCGGCAGCTCAACCTTACAACATTGCTGATTTCTACGTTCAGAGTCCGACTCTGGGTCAGACTCGTTTCTGTACGGAATCGAACAGTAATCCGGTACCCGAGGAGAACATCGGCCGTCACGGTCACCGTCGACGGATGTCCACGGGAAATATCCCCGAGGGAAGCATCGCTGTTACCGGCGGGTCTCGGACGCCGACGGGGCCGAAACTTACGAGGTTCAAGAGTCACAGGATGTTCTCATGTGTGACCGGTTGATAGAAAGATAGGCACCATCTTTTGCTTTCGTCTTAGGGACTACCAGAACATGGATTTGCTGTGCATATGGTATTTCTGGGTAATAATCATTATGGTTTTTTTCCCAAAGCGGGAGAAAGTTCATGAAAAACTCTAATTATTTGAACGATTGATCAAGTTGTTCTCTTCGGTTTCGATTTTAGTAATCATTTGACGTGTGTTAGTTCATTTTGATTCTTAGTTTCTATGTTGATCATTTCTATTCGAATTAAATTATTTATGATATTTAATTTGATTTTGATTCAAAAGATCATGCATGTGGCCACATGTAAAACGACATAGTTTTTAATTAAACACTACAAGACTGGGTTTTGATGTTCAAGTGGTTAAACAAAACAAGCAAATGAGTCGGATAAATATTATATTTTAATCCCATAAAATAATTATTTATATTGTGTATTAGTTAATCAGAGTTTATTTTATTTAAGTAATCCAGAATGGGTCCAATTACCTACTCCATATACCAATCTACCAACACAATACTCGATATGTTAATCTTAAGAAGAAAACCATTAATTAATTAATTAATTAATTAATTAATTAATTAATTAAACATACTATAATTCGTTTTAATAAAAATATACTGTAAATTGTTGAAGGGGTCGATAGAGTGAAATAAAAAAAAAACAAATTAGTTGAATTTCAAATTATTATTTTACCATTTAAATTTTATTTAAAACTTTTCTAATTGATTTTATAAAATTTGTATTAAATCGAATCAAATATATTTATTTAAATTTAAATATAATTATTTATATTGTTATGATACTATATATATATATATATATATATTTAAATTCTTTTCACATGTATAATCAAATACCCTCTAAAATTTATATAACATGTTTACGATACTTTTAAAGAAGAGATTTTGAGGACAAAGTATGGATGGAAAAAATTATAAAGAGTTATCATCAAAGGATCGAATTGTATAAAACATAAAATTGAAAGACTAAATTGTAAGAGAAATTTATAGTCAAAAGAGAAATTAAGATTATGCTAGATTGAAGAACATGTTATTCAAATTGATAAAAAAAAATGAATTAAAAAAAATAAGAAAATTAAAGACCAAAATAAGTTTGTATCATTTTTTATTTTTCAATTATTCAAACTTCAAAAATTTGGGCTCGGGTCTGGTCAGATTTTTTTAAAGATGTTATTTGGGTCGGATTCAGTTTAGGGTGAAAAATATCCGACCCAAAATTTTTTTACCTTATATATTTATGAATAATTACAATAATACCCCTGTATATATTATTTTTTTCAATTAAAACACTATTTTTATTGAATAAAAATAATATTTTTATTATTTTGGGCCAGGTTCGGGTCGGGTGAAAGGTATATATTATGTGGGTCGGGTCGGATTTCAGGTGGAGGTGTCATTGTTCTCGGGTCGAGTCGGGTGGACCAAAAATCCGACCCAACCCGACCCATGCCCATCCCTACTACATGCCTACCCTTTTATTTTTCTCTAAATTTTTGGTATTATTATTTATTATCGAAAGTTGGAAATCTTTTATTATTTTTGAAATGCAACACGAGTTCTTGAAAGAAGGCAAATGAAAGTAATGAAGAAATGGAGTAGGGATGAATGAAGAAGAAGTGGGTAGAAGATGAGTAATATTGTGAGTTAGGGGGAAAAATATTTAAAAATGGGTAAATTGAAATGTTATTCCTAAATTAATTTAAATTTACAAAATGGTCATAATTAGTATTTTGTCTAGAGTTTAACGATTAAAATAAAAATTAAATCATTTTACTAAAGGATCACGTCATCAAACTAACGGAATTCAACGACCAAATGACCAAAACTTAATAAAACGATAACGTTAGTAATCAAAACTTAATAAAATAATGACATAAGTGACCAAAACATGTTTTTCGAATCTGGTGAGCAAAAGAATACAAATATGAAATAAAAATGACCAAAATTTAATCCATGTATCATCTACGTAGAAATGATGTAATTTTATTTTTATATACTTATCGTGTCATGTTAGTAAACCTTTAAAGATTTAGCAGTCGTTAACCTTCGGTATAAATTAAAATAGTTACAAGTAATGTGGGTATTTAAATACTATAAAACTTGAACATAGAAGGGGTATAAAACATGTTTATTGAGAAAGGAAAAGAAAGAATTGTTGCAGCGCTAGAATTCAGCAGAACCAGGTGTTCTTGGGAAAGGTATTGCATCTCTTATATTCTCAACTCCGGTCGCAAACTGCACCAGCCTCTCGAACCCTAGTCCGAACCCCGCGTGAGGAACTGCCACACGATAATCAAACGGATTTTGATTCGTAAATAAGTGATCGAACTATACCGTTTCTTTAAGGTTTTATCGAAACAAAAAATGGTGAATGCAATGAAATGGTCATTAAACATAAACCATGACAACTTTTCCCGGATCAGAAGGTATTGTTATAGTTTTGTGAGAAGGATCATCCCTAACCTGAACCGTAACGACGCAGATCGAGATACCACCAGTAGCTCTCCTTACTAAGCTTCAGCTCATCTAAACGATTTTCCAGATAATCGAGTCGCTCTTCCCTTTGGCTTCCACCGATGAGCTCACCAACCTAACCAAATGTACACAAGAAACGGAACTTCAATGAGCTCACCAACCGAAGAAAAACGAAAATAACAGCAATAAGATTCTTATAGAAGTGCAACACAAGGTCATATTTACCCGAGGTACCAACATATCCATTGCTGCTACAGTCTTCCCATCATCGTTTTCCCGCATATAGAATGCCTTGATCTCCTGAGAGTTTTACATTCGAGCATTAAAAACAGAAAGTGGATAAAATGCCGACATAGAGAAGCGTGATAGAGACAAATCGCATGCCTTAGGATAGTCCCTGATGATAACGGGGCATCCGTTAAATGCTTGTTCGGTTATGTATCGTTCATGCTCGCTTTGCAAATCACATCCCCATTTCACCTACAAAAGAAACCAAGAGATATAAATCTCCGTATAAGGCCGTTATAGGATTATCTCTTAAAGGCGTGCTAACGAGCAGAAATTTAAGCAAGGTGTATTCATGACCAGGAAACGGTTATCTTTTCACTTAACCAGAAACTTTTTCTTTTATACGGCTAATGCAAGAGATGGTTTCCTCATAGATTTGAATCCGGAAAAGAAAATGCAATACCGGGAATTCGAATTTTTTGTTTGCTTCTAGAAGAAGTTCGATTGCATCGGTATAAGTCATCTGCACGAAGTCTTTCTCAGCCACATCCTGTTAATCAAATAAACGCTACCCTTTATCAGTACAATAACATTGCCGGTAATGGTGTCGAGCTCAATAGAAGAGCCGATCAAAATCTAGAAGAACAAATACAACATTGAGCTCATACATTCATTCGATCAATGACCCCTTTCTCGATCCAAGTGTTGAAAAATTCCATGTCTTCCTTGCAATTATCAAGTACGTGTCTCACCTTCGAAAGAAAAGATCGTAAATTACAGCAAATTCACTCAGAAAAATACAACTAAAGAAATTCATAAATAGATGTGAAGAGTAACATACTACATACTGGAGATATGCAGTAGCACAGGCCATGTCATCATCGAGATCAGCAAAAGCCAGCTCCGGCTCAATCATCTAAATAAACAAGGGTATAAGTTCTTCGAGACGATGTTTAGTAAGGTCAGACCAAATGCTCAAAAATAGGTAGGGACATGGAGAATGTTAAAACTTTACGAGGCTACCACGAATGCTTACCCAAAATTCGGCCAAGTGCCTGGATGTGTTTGAATTTTCCGCTCGAAAGGTGGGTCCAAATGTATACACCTAACAAAGTACAAGTATGCATTATTTCTTGACTGGTTACCTTCATATTTTGAATTACTATGAGAACAAGTGGAAGCATACATCGGTAAGAGCGGTTGCATATGTTTCAGCATTAAGTTGACCGGAAACTGTCAAGAATGCAGGTTTGCCAAAGAAATCCTGGCAAGTAAAAATAGGACGGTGAATACCATTAGTCGAATTCAAAAACACACTAATTCCGGAGAGACGTCAGACAATGAAAAAATTGCAATGGTTACAAATACATTTCCAGATAAAACATCTTATGAATTAATCCATCAATTGCACGGATGATGCACGGAGCAAAGCTATGAAACAACATGCACGAATGATGCATGGAGAAAGCTATGCAACTCTATGTAGTTGTATCCGAAGTAGTGTGAAGCGAAGTAGAACTAGCTCACCTGAGACCAATCAATTAACCCATCCTTTGTATTCGGAATGGCAGTCACAGGAGAATCAGCCGCTTCTCTGGAGCTTGGAATCTATTAATTACAAAAAACTTCACAAGTCAAAAGGATAAATGAAAAGCCCAAACATAATCGAGTCATAATTGATAACGAGTTCTTACTGAAACCATTTCACACACATCGGGATTCTAGAAATAAATAGATGCTCCAAGTAGACATGTCGACAAAAGCTTAACTTTACACAGTTAATTAAAATAATATGGAGCAGTAGGTTAACTTTCAATGATCAAAACCTAAAATAACAAAATAGCTATTAGAAGAAATAAACAGATTCATTATAGATACGGTTCATACCAAAGTAGTAACACAGAACTGTTCACCAGCTCCTTCACAATCTGAAGCCGTAATGATAGGACTTGAGATCCATACAAAACCGTTTTCTTGAAAAAATTTATGCGTCGCATAAGCCAAAGCATTCCTCACTCGTGCAACCTAAAGAGAAGTTATATCATCAAAAGAGAATACACACAGATAAAAAAAACAAGCAAAGAAAATCACCATGGTCTCGTTTGGAAGGCAAAGTAACCATGCTGACAAATAGCAAGTAGAAGTTACAGCTAATATAAAAGATGACGCCTTGCACAAACTATGGTGAGTGAACATACAACAGAATCATACCGCACCAAATGTGTTTGTTCTAGGACGAAGATGAGCTTTAGTTCTCAAAAATTCTCGACTG